CACAGTGCTCTCTCCCTGCACGAGCTCACGAGGACACATCCAAGATCAGTCAGCAACCATGGTGATCATGGCTGCGAGTTCCAGCATGTATTTCCTCCCTGCTTCCAGCCATCAAGTGTCTACTGTCCTTGCGACAAATCCTACTTTTCGGCCGTCACAACCTCCTGCAGCAATGAATTTCACGAGTGAGACTGACGGCCTTAAGTCTGTTGCTTCACCAGAAGAAAGCGTTCCTGCCGCTGCACCGCCACGGCGCGCAGCGTTAGCCTTGCAATTTAGCCTGCACGGGCAGCGCTGGCCGGATTGCTCGATGACTTGCAGTACAAGACGTCCTAATCTCCTCGCCTAGTGGAACTGCTCCGCACCAGGGTTACCACTGCAGTGCCGGCCAGCTGAAGCTGCCTTTAAAGGGCAGGGTACGCTCCAGGGCGAATACGGTTGGCGCCGTTACACTAGGAATATATTTTACCTATTGTTTTATCGCTACGCCAGTTCTAAGCACAGGCTTTCGATTAAGTGATGCTTCGGACTCGATATAGAAAATATTGAAATATTTCTGACAACGGCATTTTCACAAGTAGCATTACCCATCCCACCCCAGCTCGGATTTCTCACCTTCGTGGTCCACAGCTTGACTGTCCAGTCAAACGATGATGTGACAAAGAGATGGGAAAAGTCAATTGGACCCACGGCCATGTGACAATTGATTCCTGTGACGGGTCCCTGGTGGCCTTCAAAAATTTCACCAATGCCAGCTTTACTGCAGGAAGAAGGGACATGTGCATTCAGAGAGTGATTTAACATCTGGTGATTTAACATCATTTTCCTTCACTCGTAGGTTCCCGTTCCCTTTCAAAGCTCCATTTAATCTGTAAATCTCTCTCCTTTCAGCAAGGCCCTTGCCTGCGGAGGTTTATTGCTGTGCGCACAATTAACGCTCAGGATCCAGCACGCGGAGACCTTCTCTTCGTTCTGAAGACGTGCCTTATTCACTTTTACATACACTGTCTACCACTGCAGCTTGAAATAACATTTCTGTATAATTACAAAATAATTCTGAATTATAATTATACTATAGCTTATGCCTCTGAGTAAGCCACTATCACAAGGAATAACCATTAAAATAAAAATGCAAATATGTTAATGACTTATCACGAGCAATTATTTTTCTCTTAAATATCAGGAATAACTTTCCACAGCAGTCAATCAGGTCCCTAGGAAGCAAATCCTTTTTGCACAAAAAGCGCAGGAACTGTTGCCGTGATCAGGCATCACACAGTCAGGACGCTGAACGAGGGGCGATGCGCGTTTCATCGGCCGGCGGCTAGAGCAGCTATTAGGGAGGGAAAACACAACGCGGGCTAAGAGGGAATGTGCGCAGTTTTCTTCTTCCTGCAAGCAAGTGACGCCAGATCGGTTGTCAGTGCTGCCTCACGGCGGATACAGACATCATGAAACTACCCTTTTAGCTGCATTATAGAAAAATTGCCGACGGAAGAAAATAACATTAAAAATAGCCAGAGCTCTGACGAGGCTGCCAGCCCGGTGTGAATACAGTGTCCCTGAAGACATGAGGAGCTGCACTGGAGGACATCGGTCCCCCGTGTTGCTAGCGTGGTGTCCCCTCCCCTCTTGCCCGTGACAGCGTGGCCTCCCTTGCCAGACCTCGCAGCACATGCTGGAGCAGGGCTGCATCCTGCAGTGCTGGGTACAGAGCACACCTCTCTCTGCCACGTAGTCGGCGGGATAAGGGGAGTTCTGGGGCGCTGAGAACACCTTGCCGTGCTTTGACGCGCCTTTTTCCAGACTAACACGTGGCTCTCCGCGGCGCGGGGCTGAAGGACACAGGAGCCTCTGGAAACAAAACGGGGATGACAGCAAAAAGCTCTGGGAAAGACAGGCAGGAGCAGAAAACGAGCGTGTTTGTCAGCAACAGGTTTGCTAAAAACGTGGGCTAACAAGAGGACCTGGCACCTTCCTGCTCTTGTAAGGAACAGACCAGGCATGTCAGAAAGATCAGAAAGTAGAGGTGGCCTTGGGCATACTTCACTAGTCCCAGCAGCCTCATTCAAACCATCACCCGCCACACAGCCTATCCGTGTAAGGCCTAAATAGACACAGTTTTGCAATGCTGCCAGCGGTCGGGCTGAAATAATATTTTAAAATAAAAACTATGTCGAACAAAATCTCTGTGAAGCAGTATCTCTGCAACATTAGGAATGGGTAATAGAGGACTTCCAGTCTTAAACCAGTGTATCGATGTCTATTTGGTCAACAGAAACACAGAACGTGATAAAATACCAATTCAGAGAACACTGCGAACTCCTGGAGAGGTTGGTCACACCCCAACTGCCCACCCAGCGCGGGGGCCGGCAGGGCTCAGCCTCCGGCCTGCGGGGCCGGGTGGCACACCCAGCGCTGGATGGCCGTGCGTTGGGACATGCGTGCCCTGATTCTCACATCCCCCTGTGCCCATGGCGGCTCTTCTCTGATCCCTGCCTGTGGAGACTGAAGACGGAGCAGATAAAGCAGATTACCAGCTCTCATGAGTGGCTTAGGCCTGATTACCCTGCAACAAAACTGTCTTGTAGGGCCTGACTCGACCTGCCCAGACATAGGTACCTACATCTCAGCCAGCTGTCTAGGCCGCCGCCTCACCCCATGGGTGAGAAAGAGGCGTTTCTGAGGTCCCAGTCATCTCTTCTTCCGGCAGATGTCTGAAAAAGGCAAAGGAAATCAAACCCTAAGGACAGTCGTTGCTCCCCACCAACCACGCAGGGGCCTGGGGCAGCCACCCCGGTCGAACTGTGGCGCAGATGCTCGAAGTCAGGCGACTCCTGTCCTAGTCGTGCGAAACAGAACAGCAGAGACACCGTTGATCCAAGAGAAAAACCATGACCCGCTCTCCACGCACACTTGGCTACCTCACGCCAACGCAGGCACACGATGTTATTTAAGTACGAAATGCCGAGCATCACCTTCCATGACGACAGGCCGTGTAGACTGTTCCCTCTTCACTGCCGACGACGAAGTTGTTGACATCTCCGGTTGGGAAAGCCATTCCTGTAACCGCCACGGGTTTGGACTTATTGTACACGAGCTCCATGCTCTCCTACCAAAACAGACCTTTGTTATTATCCTGCGATCATCCTTTTGTTCGGCTGGGTTTTGGGTTTGATTTGGGTTTTTTTCTAGCTAATTTTTAAATGTTACACGGGGTATCAGGAGGGGAAGAAGAAACCATTTGACCCAGCCACAGGACTTTGGTTTCTACATAGGAGGACGCTGTGAGAAGGCGCAGTGTCACAAACTGGGATGCACTGCTCCTGCCACCCCCACCGCTGCCTGTCACACGTTTGAGAGCGGCTGGAAGGCACTCGTCCTTGCTGCATCATCTTAAATCAGGCAGAGATGACAGGTGGGAACTTAAAATCTAATGGTGCAGAAACTAAAGATAATACCGTAATGGTTACACTTGCCAGCCCCAGGCTCTAATAAAACATGCAATACCCTTCTATTTACAAACATGTTTTAAATCGATTGTTTGTCAGGAAACGTGTAATATCGTGTGCCCCCGGGGCATTTATCAGCCTTTGCCATTTGTCCCTTTGCAGAAAAAATTTCAGAAGTTGGGGTCCTGCCACTACCACCGCTCTACGCGTTGCTTTTCAGGGATTTTCTGAGGTAACCACCAACACTCCCTCTAGACTTCACCATCAAGCTACAAACCAGCAAGCATGCTTGCTTTTTTCTTCCAGCAGCTGTATTTCCGACTAAACCAGCCTGCCCGTTTTTGCTATTGCAAGGACAACCAGCACGAACCGTTTGTGGCCGTCGCAAGAGGCGCAAGCTTCGAGCAGATTTTGCCCAACTTTTTGGTTGTTCGGCCTAAAGGGTGTAACCCAAGAACCCGCAAAGGGGCTGAACGATTTAGCAGTTTTCATTTTTAGCTATTCAGGTGGGCAGGTTTTCTATGTTTAAAATGTCTAAGCTGCTATTCTTCTCGGGCCAAAGCCTGCAGCGTTTTGCTGTCGCTTTTGCTTTTTGCTGTAGCTCTAGTGGGCACCCCTGTGAGAGGAGAGGGCTGCAAATCCACAGAGAAATACTCTGGTTTGTATATTTTTCTTTGAAATACATTTCGTTCTGTTAAAAAGGCAAAACAAGACCTGGAAAATGCATTGGCAGAGCACCCGTGGACCATATATTTCTGGGAAAATCTTCTGGGGTGAGATCATCATTTAGTGTCTCTGTGGAGACACGGCCAGATACTGTGGTGGACTCTCTCTCCTCCCAGCGCCTACCCCACGGCTGCCCACGAGTGCTCCGGATCTGTGTCTTTGGAAAGTTTCAGACTGACACACATCAGCAACACTCTGCTCCTCCCAATTTAGAGCCGTGGTGTGCAGCGTGACGTCAAGCCCCGTGCCTCTCTTTTCTAGATGACCATCAGCCGTGCGCCAAACGTCAGCGTGATGTGGGGTGTGTTCCCATCCCTGTCGAAAGCCAGTTTTAGAGCAGGGAAATTCCATCGGGGTGATGAAGGACTGGAACGGAGATGTTCACAAATCTCTGCTTCAAAATTTAGTGTTCCAGTGAGTGAATACGTAAGGGTGGGATTTACCTTCTTGGTGTTTAAGTGAGAAACAGGGGAAGGGATTCAGGTGCCTAAACCCGGATGCCTGGGCCAGTTTAGATGCCTCCACTTCTATTCCACAAGACTATTGGTTTCTCCATAGTCCCAGGACACAACCACCAGACCCATGCTGTTGCTTTAGATGAGCATGAGCAACACAATCTGACTTTGACGTTGGCCTCACTTTGAGCAGGGGAGCAGAAGGGGTGACTTCCAGAAGCCCCTTCCATCCCGAGATCTGACAGTTCTGTACCCCAGGGTGGGTATCTGAAATGGTACTTCGCACTGGGGTGGGATGAGGCATCCTCCAGAAGTGCCCACTCTTTCTCTGCATTGACTGTAAAGGGAACTCAAACCGCTGGCTTAGATTTGACACAGACCTAACTTTTAGATGGCTAAGGTTAGGCTAGAGGAGTCCCACCTCTTGTGTCAACACTGAAAAGCAAATAATTCGACAGTAATTGGGCATTAATGCGTGATTAATGGATGATTCACGGAATCATTAAGAGGAGTTTCTACGCAGCATTTTGAAACAAGATCGGATCCCGTGATGCTTAGCAAAAATTATACTAAATTTTTTTTCTCTAAGAAATTATGTATAAAAAAATCAGTGAGGTGTTGGAATAGAAAAGGTACTACTCCAGAAGATAACACTGAAAAGATGCTTTCCATGGACCCTTTTCAGCATCAGATCCTTTGTTTAGTTTCCATTATTATAATCGCTAGCCATTTGGACCATTTTCCTGGGTTTCCTTTCATTTCTGATACAAAGGAGAGGGGAGGCGGGGGAAGACAATAGCAGCAAACATTCCAGAGAGGGGATATTAGTTCTAACGCTTTGGATTTGCGTTGTTTGTTCCTCTGGCTCCCGAAGGCAGGCAGCAAAGTGAGCTTTCTGCCCGCGTGCCTCGGGCAGCCGCAGCGCAATCTCGTCCGTATTTGTTAAGCAGCGCTGGAGAGTAAGTACAAGTTCTACCACGGGCGACTTCTGTAATTACCCTGCTTTAAAATGGATTATTTCATTTTCACTTGAAACTGACCTGTGGATTAACGTATTACAATAATTACACGATTTGTGGTGAAGGAAATGGGGTTTGGCTCTCAGCAGAGACTGCTGGAAGCAAGCTCAACTCTTTCAAGTGCATCGTTGGGTTTAGTTTGTACAGGACGGGCGGTTTGGGCGTTCAGGAGCCGTGTTCCATGAAGCAGGTATCCTGCCCTACCAAAGGTACCTTTTTTCCCCCCCATGGAGGTGAAAACAGACCTGTGGAGTTGAGAGCATGTCCAGGCTCCAGGAGCACATTTTGCCATCCGTAGAGACGGTGATGAGGTTGTGCGCGTTCTGCGTCCCGACGACGTTCACGCAATACACGGGATGCTGAAAACACATGAACACGGGGAATCAGAGAGCCATTCTCACATCTTCGTGAGCAAACTCCTAATGTCTCATCTGTTATTTTAAAGAATGATTAAGCAGTCACATAATGTCCGGTCTCAGCTTTTGCCAGATAGGAATTGGTTTGCTGTTTTGTTTTGGTTTTTTTTTTTTTAAATTTAAATTGTAAGTGCTACATTATGGAGGTGGAAATGTTTTCAAAGTTTCATTTTCCTCATAATAAAACAACCCAGCTGAGTAATGCTGTGAAAATACTTAAGTATGTAGCAGAGATTTCACCCACATGGACACGTATCGTTCTACTGATAGCTTTTGATACTGAAAATAACTGGCAGAAAGAGGCAAATTGTCCAAATGGAATCAAAATGAAAACTTTATTCAAGAAAACAGCTGGATAAAACTTTAACTTTTCCAGAATTTGGCTTGCATGCCAAATATTTGCAAACGTACTCCAGTTGAAAAATATGAACCAGTCCATCAGCGTTCTCCAGCACTGGCCAACAGACCTTCTTAAATCTGTCATTATAAACGTGAAGTGACTCAATTGAGGCTGTTCCACCTGGTTCACCATAGCGTAGTCGTTCCATGGAGGCTGAATTCCGCTTAGGATGCAGTAATTAAACTTGCCTTACTCCTTTTCCAAGGAACCTGGTAACATTTTGAGCCTAAAGCATCATCTGGTATCTGATGGTGACGTCTGAGGGATGGTTGGAGGTCAGCAGTCTCCAGAGTGAAAAATGAGCCAGAGTGAACAATAAGATTTCATTTCCTTTGGCCAGTACAAGTGATACTGCTGAATCAAGCGGAAGACGCACACAAGTCAAGCAAAGAAAAGTTGTATTTCTCTGCCTCTTTTGCCGATGAATAGAAGACCTGCGTCTCCAGGAAGAAAAAATACTTTTCACTAATACTTTCCTTATTTAAAGAAAATGAGGACTAACTTACTAGACGTCCCTACAGAGCTTCTAAGCCAATTCCATGTAGGGTTAGAAACCCAGCGTTCGCTCCTGCTGACAGGAATGGCAGAACCACCCCTTGTCTCGGAGTAAGATCCAGCTGCAGGTCACCCCCCGCAGTCCGGAGGGAAAGGCAGGGATCTCCAGCACACCGGCCAGCTCTCGGGGTCAACAGGGGCGCGGGCCCAGGAGATGCCCCCTCCCCAGGGCAGGACGGGCAGCGGCTGGAGGGACAGCGTGTGGGGCAACACCGGGGATCGGCAACGGCTGCCGAAACGGCGCCTCGTGCTCGGCAGCCCCCTGTACACACGAGGGAGTCGCGAGGTCCAGCCTGACGCTGACTTCTTCTCTCTCTCTCAAGGCGGTCAGGCACCTGGCTTCCCCCAGATCATCAGACGGACCCCGGTCTGTCCCTCGCACGGGTCTCGCGCCGTTACCCTCGTACGAAGGACCTTCTGGCTGCTCAGCGGTGAGCTGATGACCCCAGCACTAAACACCATCAGCACATGCTGGTGTGTGAAATAAGCACAGACCTGTGTTGTCATGGGTGTTTGACCTCCGGCAGTCCCAACAGGCAGGGCCAGGGTGCGGGGAGGAAGCTAAAGCAAGCTGTGGAATATCTAGAATATTTAGGAGGGAAGGAGAGATGGAGCCATATCTTCCCAGCAGCACCTCAGTGGGCCAGGTCTGGCTTTAATCAGGGCTACCAGCCATCAATTTCATGCACAATAAAACCCACGGCTGAAATGAAAAGGCGTAAGGAAGATGGATGAAAAAGACAAGCAACTGTACGCAACAGAAGGTCTAAACAGGCTCCTTCCTTTCAAAGGGCCGCTGCCAGCTTGCTTTTATTTATTTTGGAAATGAAATCATCATGCAAACGGGTTTTGTCTTAATTAAAATTTCCTGTTGTCCCAAGTGCAGATGTGTGGTGGGTGTGAAAGGAAATTAGTGAGTAAGCTGCGGGTGGAATTCTCCTTCCTGGTGAATCCAGGCGGCAATCAGTGATACTGAACTTCAGGAAGGTTTAAGTCAGTGGTAACAACACACTCTATCTGCTTCAGAGAAACAAAGCGAGAGAGAGAAAAGAGAAAAATCCCTTTTTTCACAGATGGCGTAAGTTCACATTAAAACATGACTATTCAGCCCCTGTTTCTAGCAGTGCATAACGTGACAGTGCTACAGCAGGGCTGTCTTGATTTAATCCTGCCTTTTTTTTTTTCCTTGGCAGCTAGGATTCAAGCCATCCTTTTGCAACCAAGACTCCATTTACAGTTTATGTGATTCCTATATATGAACATAAAGTAAGCACTCTTTTATTGTAACATCTGATCACTCCTTAACAACATCATGCTTCCTCATGTTAGACTGCGTAAACACTTATTTATACCAATCCATGGCAGCACATAAAGTGCCCATCCACAACTGGAAGTCATTTGTTTATATTTGTCAAAAGAAAAACATCCCATATTGTTCTATTGCAATAATAGAACTAGTTTAATACATAATTCCAGGCGGTACGATTTCATCTTAAATGTTTTTGTGAATGTAAACAAATTACTTCCCCTTAATCTTCCCTTTTCCACTACACTTTGAGTCCCAGTTGTTCAGTTTTCAGTGACAGTCAGCTTCTTGCCACTAGTTTTCTGGTCTGCTACATCTCCAAATTGCACTGCCAGGAGAGACTGTTTCTTTTCACGCAGGTTGAACAACATTACTGGCGACAAAACGAGGAAAGAACATTAGGGAAACGAAAAGCGACGTTGCAGTTGCAACCCGTGGCACAGACCATTAGATTATTACATCAACATTCATGATAGTGGAAACTTAGGGAACAATATTTGTGCTGCCCGGCCCACTGAGCGTGCCTGTGTGCTCCTGCCGTTTTTTAACGTGAGAGACTTGCCGCCAAAATACGGGCCCCACGCTGAATCTTTTGCATTAATCCACGTGAGACGGCTTCCGGAGGTGTCTCTTAACTCTTGGATTATGTTGTCACCGTCGACTAAAAGCTGAACCTTGATCTGCAAATCCCAAAGACTGGAACCGCAGAACCCTAGAAGCCGGAGGTGCGAAAGACCCATCTCTTTGTCCGATCCTTCGCTCTGACAGAGCGAGATGGTCCCCTCCGCTCTCAGAGTGCTTGGCCTAGTTGGGTTTCTCACGTTTCAGGAAATCTGCATTTTCCTGCATTCTTCTATCATACCATGACATTTTTCTCCTCCTTTCAACCCGTATTTTCTCTTCCACTTCCCACTCCCGGACGGTCCCAGGCCCACTCCCGAGGTGCGATGGTTGGCCATGCACAGTGTACACCTTCCAGCTCTTACGAAGAGGCTGCCTGATCCTGAACTTGGGAAGAGGAGAGCTCAGGAGCGCACAGCACCTTCGTGCAGGGTGG